AAATTTCTTGCTCATCTTCTCTGGTGGCTTTTAGATCTGCAAGATAGCAACTGGGGATTCATTCCCCCTACTTGTTTTTAAGGCCTTAACTAAGACAATTAGGCACTACGTGAGCTAGTAACTAATAGAGAAATCTTGGGGTACATGAATCACCCATTGTAGGTGCTGTTCTCCCCCCAAGGACTACGGGAGACCCAGTTAAAGCCTCAAGTGGAACTCCCATATGCAGAACTATTTAGCAAGCTTCTTTGTGTTCCAGCCTAGGGGCTGCATCTTCGTAGGTAACTCGCTAGTTGGGTTTTCTAAAGTGTTTTGACTCCAATTCTGCTCTCACTCCTGATATGTCAGAATCCAGAATAATTTGGGTCAACTTTACGTTTCTCAGTGCAGCAATGCTGTTAACAGCACTGACAGTATGAGATGTAAGTGAGGACAGTTTGTGAAGAGAGGCGTTATCTTCTATTAGACCAATTTTTACATGGATTAATTTGGATTTCAGTTTTCTGACTTGCGTTTTTCGTGTCTTAACTACCAACCATTGACATTTGCCTCTCATGCTAGATCTTTTCTAACTATATTGCAAGAACTAAATTATATTGCTGCAATATTTGAATTGCCATTTACATTGCCTTTTAAAGATCCCACTGTCTGTCTGGCAGCATTTTCAAGTATCTGAAAACCTTTAAAATCTGCTGTCAGGCTTCTGGTCTGTGCTTCCTGTTGCCCATCTGTAAAACACTGGTAGTAAAATATGCAGTGTATTGCGAAGCACTATTAATTGTTATTAAACTTGGCTGTGGTTTTGGCAAATCCTGGTGATAATATTTAGCAAACTCCTGACATGTTCAGTCTTTCAGGAAGGAAGGAATAGGTAATTTTGAGAGGGAGAAATGTGCTACTTGCATTTCTGTAAGAGGGCTGTGTGCACATGCCATACCTGTGAATTTTATGGTACCGTGCTTCAAGTCAAGAATGGGTCCATACTTTGCATATGGAATTGCTGCAGCTGGCTGCAAATGTGGGAAGAAAAGATCCAAGAATCAGCTTTTGATTCTTGTTTTTGGACAGGTTTGTTGCCCTTCAATGACTTCTATATAGACAGCATTATTTGGGCAGCATGGAATATGCCTCTTCTTAACTTACAAAGAGATGTACTTTAAAGAGTGCAGTTTTAACCAGTTTTTTTCTGTTCTTGTTTTTATTTTCAGTCCTACCTCCTGTACTCGTTCCAAGACACAGTGAGTTTAACCCTCACCTCAGCCTTCTTGCCAAGTTTCGAAACACTTCTCTGCACAGCGAGCCGCTGATGCCGCACAATGCCACCTATCCTGATTCTTTCCAGCATCCTCCATGCACCCCTTTTCCATCATCACCCAGCCACATGTTCTCCCAGTCGCCTAACAGCATCAGCTACCCCAACTCACCAGGAAGCTCTTCTGGACCAGGAAGTCCCTATCAGCTCACAGGTAAGAATGAGCTTTCAGACATCCCAACTGAGGCGGTCGAGGTTCTTGCCAGGGCCTGGGGTCAGGTGCCAATTCTGTCTGCTTCCCCCAGGCTGTAGCTACAGATTGAAATGTTGGACAGGATGGATTTGGAACGTTACTTCTTGTGACTTTCTCTTAGTATTGTCTCCCAGTCCTTGTGACGGATGCTCAAGGGACTAAGAGCTCTATCATCCCACTCCTAGAAGTGCCTGGATGAGATTTCACGATTACTGTAAGGGGAAAGTTGAGGAGTGGAGCAGGTGTGCCAGGTCACCTTCTGCCTAAAGCTGCCCATCCAAGCTTCTGATACAATCCATGGAAAAGAGCACTTGCAACACCTAAGTTAGGCACCTCTAATAGAGATGGTCAGGGTAGGGACCTTTAGAAACTCCATCAAGTGAGACAGGATAAAATGGGGAAATCGGTATGCAGAAATATTTTTTAATGTATGGTGATCCCACTGACTATATAAACTTCAGGAAATTAAGGTGTTTAACAATCTGGCCCAACACTTGGTGAAGCCATCAGGCAAATTCCTATGACTTTGGAACGTGTTTCATCAGCTCCACAGTTCTGAGGTCGGCAGGGTTATGTCACTCGGATTGTTTGCATTGTGAACTCCTTACTTAGTAGTGCTCTAATTACCTGAGAATTTAACTAGGCTTTTGCTGTTAAATATACCAAGAAAGTGTCATGCAACACAGCTGAGAGCTAGCTTTAATATCAAAACGTGGTCCAGATTCACTTGTACTTTGTTGTAACTCTCAAATAGTTTCAATGATCTCAACTTTTTCACAGGGATTAATTCAGGTCAGAATCTTGTAGCTTAGTGTTTTAATGTCTCAACTACAAAGCATTTCAATTCATGTCCTTAACGATATGCCTATTTTGATTTTAAGTGCAAGAAAGGTGTTTATTTTTAAAAGGTATTTGTAGTATTTGAACTTCCTTTTAAGCTAGACACTTTCAATGCAGTGTGATGTTTTTCCTTCCCTCCCCATTCATTGAATGGACCTTCATTCATTTCTCCTCTACATCTATATTTCAGATTAAATCATATTTAGCAACTTCAAAACATTTCAGTAAGTAGTAGGACTTGTTTGTCTTCTCCCATATTTTTTTTTCACCTCTGTGTAACCAAGCTGGATTCAGTGGAGCTGGTCCTGACAGGTAAATCAGGCCCATTCCAACTATGTAATGACTCTTGACTCGTGCATTTAACTGAACTTGGGACCTTGCAAAGCTACTTAAAAATGGAAGTGGCTCAACCTGAGCTTCGGTGTATCACAGCACATGGCATGCTGATAAGCATAATTTGCCTGAGTAACAATCAGGGATGGAAGACTATCTAAAGCAAACTGGAGTTACATCAAGAACCTTGAGTGGGATTGGTGTGACCAAATATAGATGTCAACAATGCAAATTTCTACATCTCATGCAATTGTCTATACTCTCTCTGTAAACAGGCACTCCTAGAACGACTTTCATTGCATCTTAAGGTATATGTCTAAAGTAGCTGAGATGCACTGTGTCTGCAGTGCCTATTTTTCTTTAGTGGGTATAAGGAGAGCTTATGGTGACTAGGTTAGGTGTAGACATCAAAAATACCTGTATAATCACATTATATTCCTTTCTGTGACTTGTATTCTTTTCTACTCTTTCTTGATTTTGTTTTACTATTCTAGCTTGTTGCATTTTCTGTGGGAGTGTTATGTCATCTATATGTTAGAAATGTCATGTAGTGTATGAAATTCCTAAATCCTGAACAATGCTTAAAAAGAATAACATTTCTGTGCAGTGCTTACTTGGAAGATTCAGTGACTGTCTTATGAGACGGTCCACATTTATTCACTCTGAGTGAAGTTGCTCTGTTTTGAGGGCCAGCCAACAGACCCTGAACACAAGAGGAAATTTCAACCTGGAACCAAGTTAAACCCTGGTCTTCTTAAAGAGACTCTTAGTCCTGCAAGTTTGTATATGGCTATAATTTACCCATAAGCCCACTGAGTTTCTGTTCAAATGACTAAAACTACATACTTTTAGCGCTTACACAGTGAATGTCGGCATTTTGTAATACGAAAATGAAGTTCCTTTTTCTTTGGCTCTAAAGCCTCCTGTCTTTCTTGAGAATCCCCACTACAGAGTCACCTTCTGTTTTCTAGCTTACTGTGCCATAAATGAAACAAATCAGGAGCTGGGCAGGTTGCGAGTTGATACTGAAACTGGCCGGTCACGAGCGGTGTTCCCCAGGGCTCAGTATTGGGGCCAGTTCTGTTCAATGTCTTTATCTCATCACATCCATTGCTCTTTGATGGGAGACTTCACAAACCGGAAGAGGGCCAGCCTTCCCTTGTAGGACAGAGGTAAAAAGGACAAATCTGGAGGGAGTTTTGCCAAGTCTGATTTTAAAGTATAAAGGTTTTCCATGGGCTTTTTCTATAGCCTGTGAAGAAAGAGAGCTTTCTCCCAGAGGATCAATTAACGTTGCCTTCTGCTCTTAAATCATCCTTTTCAAATTTACATTAGAGAGAGAAGTCTGGAACTGAAGGATCAAACTGTGTTACTTTCTTAGGGTAACAACTTGTACTAGCAGAGAGCTTGACTGGACATCGGTCTAGACCTGAGGCACTGTTGTGACTGTCCCTCTCTCTTTCAAGTGCAGCATGTCCAACATGACAGCCCTTCCTTCCTGTCCTCCCTGAACATGTAATGGTCTTAATCTGGAGACTGAAGGGAGGTCAGGTTCAGATCTGTGCTCTGTTTCCAGCCCTTCTGTAGCTAAACAATGCTGAACAAGTGCTAAGTACTCACCAGGAAAAGCCGGAGAGAATTTACCAACATATTGATTTAGTTGTCTTTTCTTTCTTTTCTTTCTTTCCTTCTTTCTGATAGTGGAAACTCCACCCCCACCTTACCATGCAAGAGATCCTCCAGGAAACCACAATGGGCGGTCAATGGATGCAATAGCTGAAAGTCAACTAGTGCTGTCTTTGCCCAATGGAGGTAAATCTGCCGATGGAGAAGCTGAAAGTAAATAACCATTTGTACTATTCTTCAAAGAAAAACTATTAAGCAAAAAAAATCGTTACTTGAACAAGAAGGTTCAGTGTTCTGTAGTAATAGGTTTCAGACAGTTTTACAGTAAGGCTGTGTACTAGACCCATCCATTAGCTAGCAGAATAGGTTGATTTAAGAATTCAGTGAATTATGTGTGAAGTTACAGCGTTTAGAACTTATTTGCATCCATGGACTATTACATTTAGAAAGCTGTTAATGAAAGCAAACACTGTTATCTACATTGTAAAGACAAAGATATCAAATCAAGAATGGTGAGGCAATATAACACAAAAGAGCACTATCAATATCAAAACTGATTTCTTTATCACCTTCAGTTCTGGGTTTCAAGTACTTTAAAGCCTTGTGGTTGGGATCTTTCTTACTGCCATCTTTGTATTAATGTTAGATTACTGGCTGGCTAGAAAAGAAAAGGACATATTCTAGTGAAGTACAAAGAGATTTTTACAGAAGGCCAAACTCTTTGTCCTCATATAAGAATGCTTTAGTGGGAGAGGGCGTGGGTGGTCAGACTAGAAGGGATTGGGATCCTTCTCGCTCCCCTGAAAGCAACTTCATGACCTCTCCAGCATGGTCTCCGCTACCTCCAGACTTGTAGTGGCAGGTGATGCCTCCACCATTCGAAGCCCATTGCTGCAGAGCAGCAAGGGGAAGTGGAGTTCCTCTGCTGGGTTTTCCTTTGGCTTCCTGCTACTGCAAAGGAAAAATCACCATTGTTCTTTTAGTCCAGCATATTGTAGTCCTAAACAAATGTCCTTTATGGCATGAGGACTGAACACTGTGCACACACATGCACATTAAAAAAGTAATGCAAGCCTTCTGAAACAGTGAGGAACATGAGTTCCTCACATGAGGAACATGTGAGTATCACAGAACTGCAGCAGAAGGAAGATGAAGTTACAGATGGGTACACAGAATGGCCAGATAATGACTAGTTATCAGACATGAATACTTTTAAATAAATTGTCGAGATACTTTAATCTCTTTACCATAGTTTACCATCCGTGATCACTGCCCTAGTGAATATTAGTTGGAAGTTTATTAGAGGTTATGCACAGAGGTGCTCTGGGGGCAGGGGGTCTCACATGCCTGTGGTGGGCAGGCAGGATAAGGTTTCCCACTAATTCCTGTAGGACAAATGAGGCTCAGAGATTCTGTTACATGTTTGAGTCTTTCTCTGTCTCTGAGTTAGAAAACCTGGGCAGGGGTAGGTCCAAAAGAAATGACCTTGCTGACATTTCTGTTTACGGTGCCACATGGAAGCAAAAAGCCCCAAAGTATGCAGAAAATTGGGGGCAGTGATTGATTACTTCTGAACTTAAGAGTATGGTATTAGGCTGAAGGCTTGGCTCAGTTTTGACTTGCTTTGAGCCCATCTGTCATCCCTAGCTCCTGCTAGTGTGCAGAGCAGATGTGTCCCTTACTATTTTC